GCTGCCGCCCCGGCACAGCAGGGGGGGGCTGTTCCCACAGCGGAGCGGGGGGCTGGCCCAGGGCAATGCCAGGCTGCACCATGTGCTGGGGCAGGTACTGCGTGTCCTCGTTCTCCCTGTGGGCCTGGAATGTAGAGGTGCCTCCACGTGGGCTCGGGGATGTGCCTGGCAGGGGACAGACCTGTTGTCCTCCCTCGTGCTTGTTCACCAGAGCGGTGTGGATGTAGGAGAGAACCTGGTTGCTGGCGAGGCAGTCGTGCAGGGACAGGGCGTGGTCAGGGTCCATATTGACCATCACCATTTTCTCATCCAGCAGCAGGAGCTCTAGGTCTTCAGCATTCAACCCCAGGCCCTCCAGCGCACTGAAGAACTCATTGTTGGAACAGCTCTCGTCACTCTCAATTGAGAGCGAGTCCAGGGTGGCCAAGAGAGGGTCCTCCTGCTGCAAATCCACCAGCTCCTCTTTGACGCTGTTCCCCCTTGAAGAAACTGGAGCAGTGCCCATACTCCAAGCATCTCTTCCTGCCTCCAGCAAGGACACATCCTCGAGGTGGCCCAAGGAACTGCTGCTGAAGGAGTGGTTAGGTGAGGGAGCTGGATGCGAGGCGTACACCGCCTTGTCCTGTCGCATCACGGCGCCCAGCAGAGAACTGGGGTCAACGCCATTCTTCTGGGAGCGTCCTCTGTGGCTGTGGGAGGTCTTCTTGGACTTGCTGGTTTTCCCTTTGCTCTGGAAAGGGTCAGGGAAGCCTGAGAGAGGGTATGCGCTTTGGTATAAGAGCGCCTCTCCTGTAGCAAAGGTAAAGGGAAGATGCATGGACCGTTTCCGAAGGTGCTCTCCTCCTTCTTCATCTCTGCAGGGCAGGAAGAGGAGACTGCGGCTTGCATGTGCACAAACACACCCCACAAAGTGCTTCCGCAATGGATAACTGCGATTCCTGCAAGCCAAAGCCTCTTTGCTAGAACCAGCATGCATACACCGAGCAGAACCACACACATAAACATTTACGTATGTGTTTACACAATACAAATACACACACACTTTTTTTTTATATGTACAGACATAAAATCACTCATCTTTAGCGTAACCAAGAGGATACTTAAAATGCAAAGGTTAACAGAGCTCTGCCAGTCAGAAGTCACACCTTTGCCCTGCTCCTCTGTGCTGCAGCCACCCCTCAGGACAGGGATGTCAGGCTGCTGCCAGACGGCTGCCACGTTTGAGGTCCTTGCTGTTCCTGCACCCGCACATCCCTACAGCTGCTGGTGAGCAGTCACCAGTCTGCCCAGGGTGTGTCCGCACCAGTGCCCGGGACACGGGGGCAGGGATGTGAGGTGCAGGGCACTGCTCAGCACTCGCCTGTACGTGCAGAGTGGCCTTGCAGAGGGGGACATGGCCCAACAGTATCCTACGGCACACTGACAAATCAAACATCTTGCCCTGCTTGGGGCATTGCGGAGCCCGCACCGACGGAAAAAGCCAAAAAGCCAAAAAGTCTGAGCCCATCTCAGACTGGGCTGACCCAGACGGCACTTACACGAGGGGTCTCTGCGTGACAATGATGTACTCGGGCTTGCCATTCTTGTAGACGAGCCGTGCGTTGGCCTGCACCCACTTCCAGCGATTCTCCTTCGTCAGCAGGCGGAAGACCGTCAGGCCGCTCTCACCCGTCTTCATCACTGCCGGGAGGAAGCACGCGTGCCGAGGGCTGCCTCCGGCAACGCTGCCATTTCCAGCCGGGATAAGCAGGTGGGGACACCGCAGCAGCGTGGCTGGCACATGCAGGGGACACCATCCCGGCTAAACACCCCTCACTACGCTCCACCCCCAGCTCTCTGCGGTGACAAGAGCATCACAGCAAAGCGTAAAGCAAAGCATCCTATGGGGAAAGAGCTGCCGGGCTCGATGCTACGGAGCTGCCCGTAGTCCCAGCTCGCTCATCAGCCTCGGAGGTGGGCACAACCAGGGATGGGACTCTTACTCCTGACATGGTTCTCAGCACAGTACAGCATGTCGGCAGCGTGGATGAACTGGTAGCCGGTGCCACGCATCCGCAGCTCCGCCTCGGTGTAGCCCAAAACGATCTTCCCCCTACGAGAGACCGAGAACGCACCCAGCTCAGAGACAGAGCTGGGGTGGGACATCACCCAGGCAGGGTATGGACCGGCACACTGGAATCGTCCCTCAAATCAGCTCCGCTGCTTACTTGGCATCGCACGCCAAGGGGGTGAAGTCCAGCTTGTGCTTCGTCCTGAAGATCATGTTCTTAGTTCGGATCTGCCGGATGGACGGGGGCTGCAAGGGGGTGGAGATAGCGAAGAGAGCGAGCTGGGGTGGCAGTGCAGACCCGTCTTCAGACCTTTTGTTCTGCCCGTGAAGGAATTTCAGCCTGCCTTGAAGGTTTAAAGCCTGGGAAGAGAAGAAAAGCTCAGTGTCACACAGAAAACTGGGTGGAGAGAGGGAGGAGAGCTGCATGGAAAGCAAGCCATCTCGCTGCAGAATTGATACAAATGATCGCTTGCGACTTGTCCCAGTGCTCCCTACTAAAATAAGAGGGAGGATCAAAACGATGCTACGCCGAGCTCCCCGCAGCAGCAGCCCACTGCCTTCTGCCCGTGCAGCCACTCACTGCCGGGTCTGGGACACGACGCAGCTGCAGGACCGCGCACACATTGCGGTCACGTCAGGACATCGCGCGATGCACAGGCTGCTTTGCATTTTAACTGAGCGATACCACAGCCCCATCAGCGATCATAGCGTTGCTTCTAAACAACAGACAACCAGGACTTTTTCTTCATATTGACTTTCCAAACTGAAGCAGGATGAGAGAGAAACAGCGTTGTTACACCTGTGGTTATGAAGGTAAGAACCCCATTATCTTGCAGCAGAGAGGAGGAGGAGGGATGAACACCACCTACTTGGTATTAAGAGACGTCTTTAACACAAAAACCTGGCAAAATGTGCAGAGGAAAAGCACTTTTGTTCAAGATTCCTCATCTCTGAGAAGAGAGGAATAAAACCCACATGGAGAGGTTGTAGGTATAGACCAAACCTATGAAAACCAGCAAAAATATCTCCCTGTTGAGACAGGCAGGTGCTGCACATGGCTGCCGGGTCTTTCAAGGTCAACTTTTATGCTCCAGCAGTGGCATGGACCCCTCGGGGTGAGCCTGCACCCCTCCTGCTGTGGAGGTCGCAGCGTGGGTCTGTACTCACCAGGAAGCCGGAGGAATTATCCAAGAGGCAGCGAAAGCGGCACACGAAGCTCCTTTCCAGAAAGGAGGAGTTTTCTGGGGGCAGCTGATCCGGCTTGTAGGTGACAGCAGGAGAGCCGAGACTTTTCCCCCCTGTAGGAGAAAGGGAGTGGGAAAGCAAGGAAGGATGCCCAGCGAGGGCTGGAGGTCCTGGGAAAGGGCTGGAGATTCCCAGCATCAGGGACTGCGGCAGTTTGCAGAGCACAACAGACACTCAGGGAAAGCCACGATGTTTGGTTGAAGCCGTGGTTTGAGCCATGAGGACGCAAGCCCCGTGCAAGCGACGGCAGGGTGCTGGGCTCCCCGGCTTACGTGGGGAGGTACACATCTGTACTGGCCTGGCTGCCAGCCTGCGTTTACCTTCTGCAGAAGGCTCATCCTTGGGAGCATGGGGTGGGTTGAGTGCCCAGTGGAGGTTGCGCCTGAATTCCTCCTGGTCCTCAGTGTGGATCAGCTCAAAGACGCTCTGGTGCATGACATCTGTCTAGAGGAAAAAAGCAACACGTGAGCTCTGTGGCCAGCCCCCAGGCACCAGTTTTCACGTCCCACCTGGAAATAGCCTGTCACAGCCCCAGTTGGCCGTATCTCACCCAATTTCCCCGGTGCTCAACAATTCCCTGGCTGAATGAGGTTTGACACCTTCCACCAGAGGTGACGCTGGTGGGAACGGACAGCACATCTGGCTCTACGGACCCCTTGCCCATGTTGGGCCAGACCTCCTCTCCCACATCCTAAAGAGCCACTAGCACCAACAATACAGCTCCACTCTGACAAGCTCATCCCCATAACATGGCGTTCTTCAAAATCCTAGTGCTGACTTATAGGATGAGATGAAAACGTGAGTTTGGGAACAAAACAGCAGCAAAGCCACCCCAGCCCTACACTGTTACTGAGAGAACTAGGCATTTGCTCTGGGACTTGCTCCCTCCGCCCAGATGGACAGTCCTCATCTACCCCAGATGTTGGGGAAAGCCAGCTGTGCAAAGCAACACCAAAAACCAGTAACTAAAGGACTGTAGGTAAGTCCCACTTCCCCATAAATCTGACCCAGTGCCTTCCAGGTTACTTGAGTGCTCAGATAACCACAAAGCGTTGGAGCCGTACGGGATTTGCCAGGGGTCACCCAGAGGAGCGGGTGCCCAAGGGCACAGACATCTCACCACGGCATTACACAATGGGGCCATGGACCTCACAGCCTTTCAGCGTGGCTGGTGGAAAGCATCTGTGGGCTAGCCAAGTTGCTTTGAAACCTCCTCACAACCATGTCAGGCAACACGGGGTCCAAATTCACAAGACCACAGAAAAGCCCCATGCTTTTCCAAGACCCTGTGATCCCTGTAGAGCTTCCTCCTCACAGGGAACTTGCAGCTATTCTCCACCACCAAGGAAAAATCCACTCTGCAAATCCACCACAGCAAGTCAGAGGTGTCCCACCAACCTGATGAAATCCCAGATAGTCCTGAATCGTATGCGAGGAGTAAAATATCAGTCCTTCCGATGTCACCACCAGCACGAAGCCGTTGAGCGCCTAGGAGAGAGGAGATTGGCAGGTACACGCCACACTCACGTCGCCCTTTTCTAGCTGGATGGTGAGTTCTGTTCTGCTTGGACACTGGTCACCCAAGTCCTGGCTGGTCCCAGCTAGCAGACAGCTGAACCACTGCCCCACCAAGAGAAAGGCGTAGGAGAGGAGCCAAAGCATGGGAAAACCTGGAAGAAAAGGAAGCTCTTCCCAATGGCATCTGCACATGCAGCTAAAACACAGGTTTTCACAGACCTGATGAGTCTGCTCTACCTAGCAGAGGTCAAGGGCTGCAGCTCCTTCTCGGAGTGTCCTCCGCTCTGCCTCACGTGGGCAAACTCCATTAAAGGCTGGATGGAGAAAAATGGGGATCAACTCCAGCAGAGCTGTGCTCACCAAGAAAACAGACGGTACCTTCTGCTTGGTTCCGCTGAGGTCAGGTAGCTCTTCTGTACAGCTGCCCGAGCATACCCTAATCCAAACTGATGGAAAACTTTGCTTCCATCCTGAGAGTGGTCGCTCAGACTCAGATTTGGACATTTAGACTCATCCTATGTCAAAAGCAAATAAAAACCTCAGAACGGCTTGCAGAACGAAACCGGACACCATTAGGTATGGGTCCATTCTGGTATTCTGGTGGAAACGAGCTTTTCTGACAACCCTGAATCAAAAGAGAGTTTCATGTCGGACACATTTAATGTTGACCCACGTCTACCTGGGTGGCTCCGCTCGTTTCCCTCCTCCCTGCAGCCCGGGAGGGTCCTGCAGCCACACGTGGCCTGGGACAACGTGGGGCTGGAAAAGCCGGGGGACATTCAGAGGGGAGCAAACCCACTGCAGATCACTGTGTGCTGTCAGCGTTGGATGGGCATTCCCTTCTTGCTTGGCCCACATGGATGGGGAAACTCCTGCAGGTTTGGGAGAAACCTGGCCGGTTCTTGGCCTCGTTCATGTCCCTCCTGCCCTCCCCAGGTGCCAGAGGAGAGGCTTGGAGAAGGGCTGTGGTGTGCCCACGAGGGCTGCCCATGGGCAAGGAACAAGGGACCAGCCTAGAGGTGTTTTCTCCACTGCCCGCTCCGTCCTCCCGCCATCGCTTGCTCTGAGGGTCGAGGTGGCCAACCCAATGCTGCAAAGAGCCTTGGCCAGCGAAAGCAGAAAGGGTGAAACCTAAAGCCTAAGATTTTGGTTTCTGAAACCGTGGCAAAAAAGTCTCATTTCTAAAAAGCCATTTTCTTCCAAAGCAGGAGGGAGTACAGGCTGAGTCCGGTCCCTGGATTTGGGGGAAAACCACAGAATCACTGGCTGACCTTCAGACTACCTTTTCCTTTCGGCAAATAAATGATTCACCCCAAACACGTGCCCTGCGACAACCTGCTGCAAGGCACTCATCCAGCCTGCACAGCACCGTCCTTCCGAAGCGCCACACAGCAGCGAAAGGACCGAGCATCGGTGTCTGTGGGTTAAGGGGTGTCTGCGGATTAAGGGGTGCCTGCACCCCCCCGCGCCTGGGATGCCCACGTTGGCCACAAGACGCTCCCAGCCACGCTCCTCTTCCTCTGGAGCGCTCTCTGCATGGTGTACGGACTTGCACAACGCAAACACCACGTCACGGAGAACCCTCCACCCGAACAGGCGGAACGCCGTGCTCTGTTTTCACAAAACAAATGCTCCAGCAGCTTCGCCCCTGCAAGCTCGAGGTACTAAGCCCTCCCCACAGAAAGCAGCAAATGCAGCCATCAATCTGAAGTTTCCAATGTATTTTTAATGCTACACAACTTAGATATTTTACAGTTCACTGGCCTTTCCATCCTCTCCTCAAGCTCCAGGACTGTCCCAAGAGCCCTGGCTTTGCATCCCTGCTCTCTGGCACCAGGTAGGAGCTGATGTGCGTGAAAGCCTTGCTAATACGGGCACTGGCAGGGTCCCGAGGAGCACCCCGAAGCACCCCAAACTGCTGCAGACACGCAGGCACTGCACCAGCCTTTCCCAACCACAGGGGCCAGCCCCGGTGGCGCAGAGCCCGGTGCTTTGAAGATCATGTCACCACCTTGCCAGGGCTGGGAGCAGGCCCACAGGAGTTTCCCCTTGACCTCCGAGTGCTAGGCATCAGTCCATGACTCGGTTTCCCCAGCTCTGAAACGATCACTATAGGCTTCCAGTAAACACCTTCAAGTCCACAGTGCTGCCCAAGAGCAAAGGCCATGAAAACCCAAGAAAATCACCGATTTAGCTCTCAGAAGCTGAACAGCCTTCAAAGTCATGACAGCACCATCCGGCCACCCTTCCCTAAGGGCTGGGGACACTCCTGTCAGCTCGAAGCAGGAGCCTTCAGAAGGCAGGGGTCCTCCTGCGGTGTGGACCGCAGAAGCCCTATGGCTGTCCAGAGCCAAAACCACCCTGTACCACTAACCTGGGTTAGGGAAGCCGCAGTAGCCAGCCCTGGCCTGCTTCCCCCACTTCATAACCTATAGACATCAGGATTAATTAGGGTCTAGCGTGTAGTCTCAGCCAAGTCCAGCTATTGTCACTGCCAACTCCCGTTTCATTGTCCAGGTCTGCGTTTCTCCCCCCTCTCCTTCCCTTTATTCCAGGCACAAATGCTCTCTCTATTTACTGGGGTTGATCTCAGTGTGTGGGAATCTGCTGCAGAGGTTAATTAGTGCCACCAAATGCACTTTAACCCTTTGAGCAGCTCCGGAGGCATCGCTTTGCCGTGGCAGCGGCAAGCAACGTCTCGCGGCACTCTGCCCTTCCTTAACTGCACAGAGCAGCAGGCTGATGTCATACCCCGCAGCCAGCGACCTGTACCACCGCCGTGCACCTGGGCAGACGCGGTCCACCCAGTTCTCAGCCTTGCTGAAATCCCTTCAGAGGGGTTTTCGTTCTTAACCCCGGTTTAAGGTACCTTCCTCTGCTGAGATTGCTGCTGGAGAGAGTCTTGGGGGAAAAGGACAGGGCGGAAAAACGTAAGGCTGGAAAATGAGAGGGCAAGGGAAGAATTAGGGTGGACCAAGAGATGAGACAAAGGACGTTTGGATGTTGAAGGTGACAGATCAGGTGGAAGTAGCTTTTTGAACTTGTAGGAGAGTTTCCTCGTGGCACAGAGGCAGGTTCTGAGCCCCTAGAAGAGCCAAACATAAACCCAGCTTTTAACACCCAGCTTGGTACCTCTACAAGGATGGCATCAAGTTGATGAGCAGGACATCAAGCCCTGGCAAGCACCGCTGAGCACGGTTTTGTTACATCCACAGCGGGAAAACCCTCAGCTTTTTGGTTATTAACCACCTTGGCTTTAGCATTTCTCTCACTAGACACTGAGATCCTGGCTCCCCAGCTCTCAAGCAGGACAGTAATTACATTTACTGCTAAGAGCTGAGCGAGCTTTTGGAAAGGCGCTGGGGCTGACCAGCACACTCGCCCCGCTCTGGACAACAGCTGGTCAGGGGACAGTGCTGCAGCCCATCCTCAGGTGCCAGGCAGGGAAGGAAGGGGAGACCCATGTCCCTCGCAGGACATCGTGCTGCCCGAGCCTGGCCTCTTCCTACTGACTGTGCACGGTTTGGAGACAGGAGGTCATCTCCTGGTGTCGCTGAATAAACTATGGAAGCAGCGGGCTCAGCCCAGCCATGCTGCAGCATCACCAGCGTTGCCTCCAGCATCACCAAAGGAGCCAACTCTGCCTCTCGCAGCGCTCCCAGGGTACATCCACGTACCCTGTGTACATGGGCTGAGCGTATGGCCCATCAGCACCTATCTACGTACTCGGTGTCGCGCATCACTGCCTGAAAACCAGGGAAGACTTCCATGACATTTTCTTCCCTGTGTTCACCAGTGGTTGGACAGCATTCCCGAATCAGGACCAGTGTCCGTCACTCAAAACATCTTGCTCTGCTCGGCTCCCACGTCACACCTATGGCCCGTTTACACACGAGGGCAGAGAAGCAGGAGAGCTGCATCTCCGTGGTCAGAAGTTAAGCATTGCTTCCACTGAGACAGAGGGGGTTCTGACACCCAAATGATTTACAGGTGGCAATTTTCTCTACGAAGGATGAGAAAAGGAGAGGAAAAGCAACACATTTTCTGTCCCAGGGACCCGAAGAGGTCTTAAACCTCTGCTCAGTCAGAAGCACTATGAGCTACACCACGTGAAATCACTGCTTCACCAAACCATCCTGCAATCCATAACAGAACAGCCTGCTTTTTGGGTAAAATTCAAAGGAGCTGGAAAGGGGACAAGAGGAAAATCCCTTGAAGGCATCTGCCAGGGGGAGGTGGCCAGCGAGGAGCACTAACCTGTAGGAGCAGCTCGCCCTCCAGTACCGCTGCCGAGCCCGGAGCTGGTCCATTGCTGCGGTCTCCATCCCTCTCCACTTCTTTGGCACCGTGATTCTTTAGAGCAACTGCACGAAGCAAAGGGAAGGGGCTTCAGTGCTGCAGTAACACACCCAAGTCACCACCACAAACGTCCAAAACGTGGACCTGGCTGCAAAGCTGGGCAACGCAGTGCCAGGGGAAGCGGCGATGTACTGCCAGCCCTTTGCTTCACTCCTCAAGAGAGTCGATTTTAACAGGACTTTTTTCTTCCACCCAATACCCTCAACTTTTTTTCCCCCCCTCCCAGACCTTTAACGACCAATATCCTCAACTTCCTTTTTTTCCTCCCCTAGACCCTCAACAAGAGGAGTTAAAGCCAGGGATCAGACGTGCACCCGCACAATAACTACAAGGCCCTGCGTTTATCAGCAATTACCTGCAACCAGTGGCACAAAAGGACACGTTTAGCGAGCTCACCACCCGGAAATCTCTCTTTTAATTTAGCAATAGCAATCGCGGAGGTCCCTGGTCCTGATGCGGACGCTGCTCAATGCCTGCACGGCTCCTTGCAAACAGCAAGGGAGAGGGTGCCACGCCACACACGTCTTGCTGGGGGAGTGCTGGAGAAATGCACCCAGCATTTCTTTGCGATGCTGAAGCAGAAACGGATCGGCTCACACACGCCCCGACCCCGTGAAGGACAGCTGACCAACAGCAGCAAAAGCCTGCAGCGAAAGGCATTGCAGCAAACCCCACTCTCATCCGGGATGAAGAACACGTTATTTTGAAGGGTACAATCCGGATAGTCCAGTCGACGATGTCTCATTACAGTTCAGCAACAGAGCGGGTTTATTCAATCAAATTAATGCCCGCCGCTCACAGTGGGAGAAAAACAACAGGGAAAAACGCACACGTGGATACAAATGTAGACGCCCGAGATTGCAAGCAACCTAATAGCGATCGATGAAGAAATCCATCACTCAGTTTAACTAAAAGATGTGCCTGTAAATTTTGTACCGTGCTCCCCGCGAGAACAAATCCCAGGGATATTTTAGGGTGGATAATATTTACAGAGTAAGAGGACAACAAGGCTGTGCATGGCAGGCCTGCCCAGGAGACAGCGGAAAATGCAGCAAAGCCAGGAAGCTCCTTCCAAGCACGGTGAGGATGGAAAGCAGCATTTGGCCTCTGATAAACCAGCTGCTACTTGGGAGGAAAGGTGTGAGGCTCCAGCCGCAGCCACCACTGCAGCCTGCCCTTGTTCCTGCTCAGAGAGATTCAAATTTGCTTTTCCCAGCTCCTGTGCTACGTGTGCCAAGGAGCTGCCGTGCTCAGATGTGACGGGAGCATCAAGTGGACGCTGGAAGTAATTTATCACCCCATAAAGCTGTCAGCGAGAGCAACACCGGGAGCCGAGACGGAGCAGCGAGTCAGAAGGCACCGGCCAGCAGCGCGTCAAAGAAACCAGGCTCTGTAACGCTCAGCTCGCCTCGTGCTTTGCCAAAGCAGCTGTTGGAACTCAGCTCCTCCAGCCACCTGCACGCAGAAGCTCGCGGGCGAGCAGCTTCGCAGCCGCTGCGAGAGATGGATGCTCCAGACGCATCTCCGAGCCTTCCACGACCAGGAGGTCTGAAGCCGACCCCAGCACCCCCCGTGTTCACAGCGCAGTCGCAAGCGGAGGGGCTGGTTCGGTCTCCAAAGCAGAATCCTCCCACCTGTCAGCATCTCTGCGCTGGGACAGGCAAGCATGCAGCAAAGGCACGCCGTGCCCTGCAGACCCACTCTCTTCCACTGCCAGGGCTCACCTTCCATCCCAAAGGCCTCTGCGTCCCCCGTGGGTGTTTGCCAAGCGCTGGCTCGTAGGTAGGTGGGAGCAAGGAAGGATGCCGTGCTCTGCAGAGCCTCACCGGTATGCACGTGAGGCTCTGGGGACAAAATGCACTTCCACCGGATGCAGGACCATCCCGACGATCAATTCCGCTCCATAACCAAATGCAGAGCATGTCCTGGTTCTAATATTGCTTATAATCAAAAGAAAAAAAATCTGGTATGGCAGCAAACCCCCTGCTTCGGGGAGGTCTGGGAAATTCCCCTCAGGCTCAGCCCGCACAGATTACTTCAGGAGCTGTTTGAGCACCGAGGGGCCGACAGCCCGGGATTAAGTTTACGGCACGTGTTTGTACGACAGCGGGTCGGTCCTGAGCGTGCTGGGGTGGACACACGCACGCTGCTGTGTCCCGACCGCTCCCCCACCCTGACCACCATCCTGCTGTGAGTGCTGCTGCCTGCGGTCCTCTGCCCGGGCCGGACCCCGACAGCTCTGCACCAAGTCCCAGGCAGGGGCAGGTCACCGGGCAGAGCGGCGTCCCGTGGTGCGGACGGAGCAGGTTTCTAGCAGTGCCATTCCAGCAACTCGCTTTTCTGATCCCTAGGAGCAAACAGTAGGAGCTATGAATTATTAAAGGTCTTCAGTCCTCCTCTGCTGGCTCCCAGACTGCTGCACGGGAGGTGCAAGATAAAAATAAACGTGGAGGATAGAAGAGCAGCTAAAGGGTGCTGCCCTCTCCTCAGAGGTCTGGTTTAATGGGTTGATATTTCCCTGCAAAAAGGAAAACTTCATTACAACCGCTGCCTAAAAATAGACTTTGCTGTCAGCATCTGGGCTGCTCCTAAGCCGCGGGGCCAGAGGAAACACAATTAAAAATCAGAAGATGGCCCACTGTCCTCCACGCGGATGCCTGCCACCGAACCCAACCTGCTCCTGCAGACAGGATCGAAGCACCGGGGGTGAGGGGCTGCTCCCCTACAAACCAGAATCCCGGTGGGAGTTTTCCCTGCGACCTTCACCAAACAGCACGTTTTCCACCCAAGGAACCCCAAAGATGACCTGCTCTTGGCTGCAGACATCTCAGGCTGGCCCCCGCCCGGCGTCCCCCGGCTTTGTCTCTCCATAAATAGCCCCGCG